AATAATAATAATAATGGATTATACAAGTATCCATTGATATGTGTATAAACTGAACTAGCCACACAAACTAAATACCTAGGAAAACCTGACCAAAATGACATTGAGAAGTTTGAAAAAAACAAAAACACAGATGTCTGAATCACATAATGGGTCATGTAGCAGTGTGTAGCACCACTGATCTAGGAAGTAGGCAGAGCAGTGGTCTTGTAAGACTAAACTGGACCTTATTAGCTTCTAAGTTCATTTGATCCTGTTGTGGCTTGACACTTCCATTTAGCCATCTGCAGAGGTCAACTCAGGCTAGTAGTTCCATCTGCCACTAAACTGTCACACTGGCACAGAGAATAAGGTGCTTAGACCTCCTTCCTGTGGTTCACAGTATCCACTGCCTGGCAGAGCATGGAAGTCAGTCCATGTATGTTTATTGGATTTAAAGGATAGTTTTTAAGATTTAACATAACTGAATTATCTTGTAATATCAGCCATAAAGGCTTGAGTGTATAAGTACTACTAATCCTTATGGAGCCTGAGCTGCTGTCTCAGTAACCTTTTCTGGAAATGATAATTAACAACAAGGCAATAAATGGTTTCACCTCATATGAAGTGATCATACAGTAAATGTGTGATTGCTGCACCTATTTTGTATCTGCCTACCTTCACAAAAGCCAATTGCTGGTTTCAGTAGAACAAACCAATTCCAAGCAGAAAGGGTAAGAGTTGTTTACAAAAAGAATAAATTTCACTGATAAATATGACAGATCATTCAAATCAGTATATGACTTTCAATACAGTTAGTACTCAGTGTTTTCTAGCAGGTGTCCAAAGCTACTGTTCAATCCATATGTAAAAAGAGCAACATGGGGATCATATTGTCATCATGTCCTCCCATGTCTCTGATACCATAGACAGAAATATACAAGTAGCTGACTTGGAAGGGCTAATGTTGTCCTTCAAGGAGATGGCAGTTTAGCTTGGAAATGGACCATATCCTTGAGCCAATTCTTATGATCCCTTGGTATAGGTACAGTATTACCAGTGCAGTAGAGGACTGGATCATGGAGAAGCCACTCAAATAAATTACTAGTTTTGTTAGTGATAAGAAAAAGAGCAGGACAGATAGAAGTGATCTTAGCATACTCTTTTCTTCTGTTTTAACAGACATCAGTTTGGTGTGTGTGCACTGATCTATAAATGTGTTACTGTACATCAATTCAACAAACACATGCTTACCTTTTTTTGTTAGCCCCATTTTTCAGTGTATTTATTTTTAATCAAACATAATTTTTCATAAAATGCTTCTTCCCCTACTGCATATATAGTGGAGTCATTGCATAAATGAAAATGTGTTTTAGTGGAAATGTTAAAAGACAAATAAAATGTTGCCTTTCTGGTTGGCGTAATTTTTACACCATATTATTTTCCCTTCTCCAGTCTTTTAAACACAGTAATAAATTCTGAACTTCCTTTCAAGAAAGCCTATTAAGCTAGCACAATTTCTAAGGTAGCACCAGAAATAACCCCTGCTTAATGCAGGTTAAGAAATCATTTTTAAACGTGACCTTAGAAATTGATTAAATGTTGGCATGCTCAAATTTGGGAATGGCTAGATCATGTCAACTACCGATAACAAAACATTTTACAAAAAAACTTTACATGTACCTTACTTTTCTTCATGGAACTTGAGATGGGAGGCCCACACACACAAAGTGACATTCCCCTATACCCCATGTGTAGAAGATCAATTACTGTTATACATGTGGAAGAACAGTGGTTGGGGACTGCCAGAAAACAGGAGTCTGGAAACACCCCTGACTAAAGATAACTGAATAGTACACATAAAGAGTTCTGCCTGAGTGGGGGGGGGGGGATTTAAAAAAAAGCATAGTATTTAATTACTCCCAGAGCAAAGCCGCTCCTTATTGCTAGAACAAAGTGATATGAATGAAAATTCCAGCCACAGCATTCTGTCAGATTCATGATAATTAGGGCTTTGGAGGGCAATTTATAAAGTTTTATGTTAGAATGTTAAGTGAATTCTGCTATAAGATACAAAGTCTGCTATAAGATACATCATAAACATTATTTATGAGACTATTAATTTGTAAGTGTAGAAGTGTATTCAAAGTGGGAAACATGGCATCATAATTTACACTTTTCGAATTGATTGTTCTAGATGACAGCAAATTTTCAGAAGCCATTACAGTGTTGCTTACCTGGATAGAGCGTGGCGAGGTAAACCGTCGCACAGCCAACCAGTTCTATTCAATGGTACAATCGGCTAACAGCCATGTCCGACGGCTTATGAACGAAAAAGCAACTCATGAACAAGAAATGGAGCAAGCAAAGGAAAATTTTAAAAATGCCTTAACAGGGATCCTCACTCAATGTAAGTAACCTGTCAGTCCTATGGTGTTGTCATAGTGTTGTCTTAGTTAATTGTTGGTATTTTATTTTTTTTTAACGCTGAGGGTAAGTAGTTATTAAATAGTCACTTTCTATTGATATCGCATGGCATACTGGAAGATCAAGGACCATTCCTAAGCTATTACTTCTCAAGGTGAGCAAAGTTAAGTAGTTTTTGTTTTGTTTTTCGCTTTTTTAAAAATAAATAGATTGAAGTTTTGTGAAATGAGAATAAAGGGACATGTTTTGGCATTTTGACCGACAACTCTCAGAACCCTGTATCCAGTGTCACTATGCTGGCTGTGGGCTTCTGGAAGCTGCCATCCAAAAACCCAAGCATGTCTCATTTCTGTGTGTGAGGGGGTGGATGGTGACTAGACAGACAAGGAAACGGCCGTACCCACTGTTTCCAGGGAAGGGATACAGATTGCACAGCCTGGAAGCAGAACATATGGCATGAGAAATTTTAAGTGCCGCGCCATTGCTCACCAACCCATTATTAGATCCGGTCAGGTCCTTCTCTCTTTACTCTTGGATAGTGTATGGACACATGCAATGCCAGGTGGAAGGCAGGAGAAGCAGAAGCAATCCCACTAGTATTGAAGTGTACTATTTTATGTAAGTTGCCTTAGGGAACCTTTTGGATGGAAAGAATAGAAAGAATTCAGATAAATAAGTAGGTAAACACAGTCAATAATAAGCAAAATGTGCCTAATATAGAGATGTATTAATTCTCTGAGGCAAACTCCAGCATGAAAAAGAGGAATTTGCTGCAGAAATTTGGCAGGAACAGTGTTCTACTGATTTTCTGCAAATGTTCACTTGGCAGATGAACAGATGAGCCTGCTCCAATATTTTGTGCTGGCAGTTTTTCTTAGGACAAAATATAATCCATTTTGTTACCTTAATGGGTTGTCCTCCTAAAACAATAATCAGAATAATTGCCTGGTGGATTCTTTTTTCTTTTTTGTACTAAGAAGTATTTCTGCTATTTTAATGATGAAAACATATAGTGCATAGTCAAACTGAAGAAGAGTGAAAGCCAACTGCATTTTTCTCAGGCCATATGAGAAATAGTTTGGATCCAATAAATCGTGAGTGATTATCATCAGGGTGGTGTTTTATTAATGCTGAAATATGCATTTCAGGATTTAATGTGCAGAAATTTCATATGGCATGATTAAATATAAAATATTTACTAGAATCCAGGTACAAGATGTACACAATTACATCAACCTAAAACCCAAATGAATAACATTCACTTCTTCATGAGTTCCAAAACTAGAGTTCTTCTCTGTGTTAGCAATGCCTGTTTGTGCAGTTAGTATAATTGGGAGTATGTGCACCAACCACAGGATTCCACTTGCTACCTGATTTAACAATTAACTCAACAGCCTATTTCAGTTTTGATCAAACCAAAAGTTGCTCATTTCACCTCAGGTCCAAATTCTGGATTCAGAAATCCAAATCCTTGTACCTCCCAATTACTATCACTATAAGAGAACAAATGGCTGTAATTCTTCCTGTTGACCAGTATTGTATGCAACTTTCAGACTCAGAAGCCTTTTATCAGGAAATCATACATAGCAAACATGGAGAGAAATGTGAAACAGGCTTTTAATTTTGAATTCCTAAAAAATAATTGTGGATTCGCTGGTAGAATGGATAAAACTTTTAGGAATAGTTCCTCTATAAGTGGGTCATGCTTAAGAAGCCTCAGATTAATACATACAGATAGCTTTATGTAAGTGCAGCCTTTACATTTTGGAGGCTTCTAAAAAGAGCAAATGTTCTTGTTATGTTAAAAAGATATGGCATAGAAACAGGTCTTCTTAAGGACTTGTGGCCTTTGCAAGACTTTGGAGGTCTGCCCACCCTTTCCAACCATGCAGCTGCACACCTGCTCAAAACACTCCTGGGGTCAGCCTTTTTTTTTAAAGAAGCAAGCGTTAATTATCCCCTCAATTCTGGTTTTCAAAAAAGGTCTTTTAAGGCCTCTATAAATTTCTGGAGAGAGAATTAGACATAAAATGCAAACTGTCCGTGCCCAAGACCTCTATGGGATGATTTGCATTTTAGGACCATTAAAAAATTATTACTTTGGGTATTTGGGGAGGCTTAGAAGGTAGTGCTGGGTCCATTTGACAACATACCATATTTGCTGGCGTACAAGATGACTTTTTGGTCCTGGAAAGCATGCCTCCAAGTGGGGGGGGGGTCATCTTGTACGCCAGGTGCATGTCTAGCAAACCCTCCCTCTCTCCCAGCGAAGTCACTTAGTAAGACCCAGTAGAGCCCAGCTCCTAGCCTGGGAACAGCCTGACTCTAGCGCCAAACAGCTGACTGTCAGGGAAGCAGCAGACAGGTGGCAGCCATTTTGAGATGCAATCACATGGCTGCTGCCTCTCCAAAATGGCTGCCGCCTCTCCAAAATGGCTGCCGCCTCCGAAAAGGAACCAAAAGGGGCAAAAGGAACTCTCCCCATGATGCAGCCAAAGCAGAATCACGCAGGTGGAAGAGGGGGTAGTTTTATACAGCAAGTATATAAAACAAACTCTATATTCTGCGTGGGAATGTTGGGGGGTGGTCTTATACACCCAGTCACCTTATACACCGGCAAATACGGTAGTCACAGGAAGTGAAAAAAAAACCCAGGGTGCATTATATATGTGGAACGTATAGTTGCAGAACCAGATAGATTTCTACAATTTTTCTGGTGAATATGCAATGCTATAGTCTCCCATGTCCCACAGATTACTCCAAAAAAGTCATTCTTTCCTGCTGTTGGAAGAAAGAAGTATCAAAAAGTACTAAGTACAACTCTCCAGCATATCAATTTAACATCCCTGCCCTCAGGGCTGGGGCCAGGCTTTTTTTCCACCTTTGGCAAGACTAACTACTTGCACAAACACACCCATTTTCAAAAACAAATTGTAGGAAAAACAGAAAGTACAAAAGTTGGAATTGTGAAAAAATTATTTTAAAAAAACTGAGAGAACAAGTATAGAACAGTCTTCAGTTTTCTTTCTCAAATACAAAACAGTTTTAGCACATAAATCATTTTGAATAATCCTATGAACTGTAATGTCTCTTAAATGTTTTTGTTTTTTCCACATCAAAATCTGATTTTGCATGCCTTTTGTCACTGATTCCTTCAGGTCAATGGCTGATGCTTAGGCATGTTCAATTGATATACGTAGTTGCCAAACCAACTAGTCTACTTTGCAGCATTGTTGAGCGTAAATATGTTTTTATAAGCTTGAGCTTCGAGAAACTGCATTCAGCACTAGCCATTGACAGTGGAAGTGTGATTCTCAAATACAAAACAGTTTTAGCACATAAATCATTTTGAATAATCCTATGAACTGTAATGTCTCTTAAATGTTTTTGTTTTTTCCACATCAAAATCTGATTTTGCATGCCTTTTGTCACTGATTCCTTCAGGTCAATGGCTGATGCTTAGGCATGTTCAATTGATATACGTAGTTGCCAAACCAACTAGTCTACTTTGCAGCATTGTTGAGCGTAAATATGTTTTTATAAGCTTGAGCTTCGAGAAACTGCATTCAGCACTAGCCATTGACAGTGGAAGTGTGAAGAGGATCCTTAGAGCAACAGAAACATTAAGCACACTATCCAGGAGCTTTTGTTGCACTATGAAGAGAAGTACTCCTTGTGGTGGCATAGACTTTGGAAGTCTTCGAGCTATTGCTCTAAGTTCACAGCAGAGATCTTCAGTATCAATATCTTTGTTTCCATTGTGCATCAATGATTTTTCCAAATTCTTGCAGGCCTTAAATACATCTTCAGTACATTTTTTTGTTGATCTTGTATATGTCATATAGGAAGCCAAACAAGGAATTATTGTGTTTTAGCTGTTGGAATCTCTCTTCAACAGATTGTATGGCCATGTCTAAGACAGAATAATAAAAACTTATTTTGAATTTCTGCTTTGGATCTTGTGGTGCCTCCTCTTGTGCTTCATGCTGATTTTTTTGTTCTCCTTTGTCTAACTTGTTCTGTCTCAAAGTTTGGTAGTATTTCTAGCTCCTTTGTAATCTCAGCATCCATCAAAACTTGTTGAAAACCTGCATCACACCTACAGTCCAGAAGATAATTCTTAGTCACTTGCAATTGGCTTGTAGCTGAATTTAAATCATTTCCCTTATTTTGTAACAGCTTGCTTGCAAGATTAATTTCAAAAAGAATGTTGTACCATGTAACAAGGGATATCACAAATTTGAACTTGCAGATTGCATCAGCAAGGGCCTGAGCTTCAATTCACAAAGTATTTCCAGATAATTTCTTTAGGTTTTTGTCATCAAAATCTCTATTAAAGCATCATATATACAACCAAGATGGTATCTCAGGGGTTTTAAAGCATCAATCCGACTCTCCCATCTCGTTTGACTCAGGGACTTAATAGTTTGCCTAATACATGGCTAATTAGAATTTGCCAATGGCGAGTTGATGTAGAGAAAAAATTATAGATCTGTTGAATCAAACTAAGAAACTTGTTGCTTCCAGACAACATTTAGTGGCATCATTGACTACCAAGTTTAAAGAGTGTGCATTGCAGGGCACAAAAAAGGCATGTGGATTTATGTCTAGGACTCTCTTTTATGTGCCATTTTCTTTGCCTTTCATGGTACTCCTATTGTCATAACCTTGACCACGGAGATCCTCAATTGATAATTCCATTTGCTCAAGTTGTCCAAGAAGAGTTTCTGTCATAAAGGCACAAATCCCAATAAATGTTCTTCTATCATAACCTCAGGTTTGGACATCTCAGTATCTGATGGTTTGATTACATTGACAAAACATACAATCATTGTCACTTGTTCAATATGACTAACATCAGGTGTGGAATCCAGAATAACTGAATAGTATTTGGCTGACTTTGTATCTGCTAAATTTTTCTGCTTTGTAGCACCTCCTAGAATTTGTATAAATTCATTTTGGAAATATTTTCCTAAGAAGTGA